AGAGAGAGAGAGAGAGAGAGAGAGAGAGAGAGAGAGAGAGAGAGAGAGAGAGAGAGAGAGAGAGAGAGAGGAAGAGAGAGAGAGAGAAATCTTTTCGATTTCAAGAGAGAGAGAGAGACAGACAGACGGAGTGCATCTACCGTACCTGCATCGACACCCCACCTTTTTCTCAAAATCTGGTACGCAGAGAGAGAGAGAGAGAGAGAGAGAGAGAGAGAGAGAGAGAGAGAAAGAGAGAGAGAGAGAGACAGAGAGAGAGAGAGAGACAGAGAGAGACACAAAGAGAGACAGAGAGAGAAAAACAGAGTTTGAGAGAAAGACGGAAAAAGAGGATGAAGCGAGGGACAGAAAGACACAGGCAAACTTCCTCGTTTTTTTCCCTTTTTTTCCCTTTTTTTTTCCTTTTTTTCCCCTTTCGTTTTCCTTTTTTATTTTTTTCGAGACATGCGCGCCATAGCTACACGGCCCACCCTTGTCTCGGCTCGTGCCACTGGCGATGGCAGAGTCTTGACCTCACTCACCTTCTGCCACACACCCACTCGCACACATACACAGACTTGTCCGCACACTCTCTCTCACACCCACGCACGGGCACACACAAACACACTCTTGCTCGATCTCTCTTTCTGACACACCCACGCACGCGCACACACAAACACACTCTTGCTCGATCTCTCTCTCTCTGACACACACGCACACACACAGACAGACAGGCAAACTTCGTCCTATCTGTGTCTGTGTGTGTGTGTGTGTGTGTGTGTGTATGTCCGTGTGTGTGAGAGACAAAGAGAGAGAGCGAGAGCGAGAGAGAGAGAGAGAGACAAAAAGAGGACATCACCACACCACCCCCGAAATGTGCAAAATGAGAATGAACTTCCCGCTGGAACATGGCCAGATATGACCGCCATGTTTTCTCGAGGACCGAGCGCCAAATATTGGTCTGCCTGCATCTGACCGTGTTCTAGCGCAAAGTTCGCTCTGACCCAAAAACATTCGGAAATCAATTTGTCTTTTTCATCTTTTGTTTTTTTTTCTTTTGTCTTTTTTTTTTTTCTCGTCTTTTGTTTTTTTCATGGACAAAAAAAACAAAAGTTTTTTTTTTTTTTCCGCAAACAAAACAAGAGTCTTTTTTCTTGTCTTTTGTTTTTTTC